CTGTTTCCAACTTTTTCCATATATCGACGGCTTCAGCGATACTGCAGCTATCTTTCTGTATTTGGTCTAAAGCAATTGAAATTGGTTTCAAGCGAAGCAATAAGTCTTCCACATTTCTTTTAATACTCAAATTCATGACCTTTGATCTTATACTTTCATCAATTGCAACTCTATTTTCATCTACAATCTGCATTAAAATCGGCCAGTTCTTAATGTAACTCTCTAAAGAATCACACATGGTGTTCCACCGCACCTGTGAGGGTAAACTTAAGCCAACAGATTTGTTTCCTTTACTTTCATTGAATTTTGCTCTAGCAAACTGATTATTACGAAAATATTTATTTATCTGTACTACATGTTCTGTTACGCTCTGAATTTCTAAATCTTTTGATAGAAGACTTAAAATATGTGCTGAACAGCCATAGCACACTACTTCAATGCAGTCTTTCGTTTTTAATGCTTTTCTCATACTTGCCATATTAGCTGCATTGTCAGTAACAAAACTGCGAATACGGCAGTTGAATTTGCCTTGAATATTCTTTATGGCAGTAACTGCTAAATCTGTTAAATTTTCACCAGTATGGGGTGTTCCGCTAGTATCAATAGTATCCACTAGGTATACAATGCCCTCCATAGTAGTTACACAAATACAAATAATAGGTTAATTATGCACATTAGACCACCCGTCCAATGACATACACAAAGTTTTATTCTTTAAAGTGTCATGACATTTTTCCATTTCTGATTCATAAACTTTATTCAGCAAATTTCCACTTAAATCTAATTTACTGGGTGGAAAATATCCAGGACGAAGTATCTCCATTAATTTTTTTAAATGATTATTTTCTACACTACGAAAAGACGTATTAGTAGCATAAAAGTATTTGGCAACATGACAGTCAATTACTTCTTTCTGGCTTGATGACGTTTTCACTACAAAAGAAGACAAATCTAAAATTTTCAGCTTTTTCTCCGGTACAAGTGGAAGAGTAGAACAGGGAGGTTTACGTTTCAAGTTGGATGGACCTGGAAGGCATAGACTGCTTTCAGTATCTTATCCTGTCATAGTGGTACTACTTGTTGTAGTAACTTCTACTTGAGCATCTAAAAAAAATAATAATTGCTGAGTTTGATAAACTTTCTTTCAAACATTGAGTTTTATAAATAATGAAATATATTTTATAAATTTTAAAATCCTATTAAAACATTGTTTTGTTTTCATTATCACTGTACTGTTACTCAGGGGTGCAGAATATGTACGATCCGGCGATCTAAGATCGGGAAAAATTTTAGCAATCTGGGGAAATTCTGCGGAAGACTTTACAATTGATATAGATTTTAACAATGAATTCCTAAATTTCTGCATAAAAATTTTTCTCAACAATAAAAACAACTATAATTTTTTAAAACAGAGACTTGTATATTGCAAAATTTTCTATTTCTGTGATAATACCGAATTTATGTCAAGACTCATATTGTAAAGTTTAGGGGAAATTTTCATACAGATTGGGGGAAATATTGGGAGTAAGAACATTTTCTGCACCCCTGCTGTCACTTATACTGGCTACGTGTGGAAAAAAAAAAACTTGTTATCTAAGCATAAGCACTTTCAATATTGTACGTAAATTGTTCTATATTTAAAGTTGTGTAATGTTTTAAAAACATTTTTTTTTAAATTTCATATCAGTACTTTCTTCTAAGATTGTTCTTGAGTTGTTTAAAATTGTTCTTGAGATGTGTGTTTATGTATAAAATAAAAATAAGAATGATAAAAATAAAAATAAATAATTATTGTAAGTAATATGTGAATAAATAACAATAACTTCTATTATGAAAGTCGATCACTTAAAAATACACCCTGTGAAATAATCAGAATAAAATCAATAAAAATAAGCTTAGATGTTATGAATTACATTTTGTTTGGATCAATGATAAGAATATTCATATCACTTTAAATTTGAATACTGAAAATTGTAAAATGTTTTACTAAAATCACAATACTTAATATATTGTGATTATCTGCTGACAACAACATCATGAACCTTTAGTCTTATATCAGTAAAATATAAACATATCAACCTATTGCAACCAGTAAAATATCAACATATTGCAATATGCATGTTAGAAAGGAGATTAGAATTGACAATGTCCATTCAAGGTTTAAGTAGACAACTAGGGAATTAAAAAAAAAAAAAACATGTTTTCAAATGTACAAAATCAACCTGTTGTCTCCATAACTTCAACTTTATTTACATTTAATATATTTTTATTAACATTTGTGAACAGAATTATCTAACTGAAGATGAAGATAATTAGCATATAGTTGTCATGTTCATATTCTTAAAATTCATTTCTTATAATTTTACAAGCATTTTGATTATAAATTACCTATTTAACCAAGAAGTAAAACTAAGAATTAAAAAATCTGTCAATAGAACAATCTGAGCAAAAATATAGTACTAACTATTTAAAAAATGTTTTTGTTCTCAAAATATTTACATGTAAACTAGCTAGTATTTTTGATTATTTAATTAATAAAAATAATAATAATAATAATAAAAAGGAGACTTACCAACAGAATCATGATCAGAGTCTGAAGCAAAAGATCCACAAGTTTCTAGATGTTTTTTCATTCTTCCAACTTGGCCTTCCATTTCTTTATGACATCTTTTGCATTTAGCCCTAGAGCCTTTCCTCTTATCATTTTTTACTTTATCAAAGTACAACCAACTCAAATCTCTTTTCCTTCCACCACTAGACATTTTATGTTATAAAAAAATTTAGTTTAGATCATGGATAAGAATACATAAGNAATATTAAATTTTTTTTTTTTTTTTTTTTTTTTTTTTTTTAAAGGGAAAAAACCAATTGGTTTAAACCGTGCACACCCTGTAATTAATATCGTTTTTATTAGGTTGTAAACTATTGTCACATAAATGTAAATGAGCTAAAAACCCAGAAAATCTATTGACAGGCATTAGTGATGATATGTACTGATCTCTAAGTTGAGGATTAGCCGACCAGTAATCTTTGTAGGATGGACACTTTTTGATACCCATTAGAATATTTATTGCTAAAAATATTTTCATGGATTGTGAAGTCACAGATTCAAATGGCTTTTGTTTTTGATGAGCATAAAATTTAGTATTAAAAACTAGGCCATTAACCAATTCATCATTAAAGAGACACTTAAAAAACTCAAAGGATCTTCAGTTCCCCAATGGTAAATTAGGGCCACCTTTTCCTTGAAATGGCAGGTAATCAGGCATTAAACCATGTTCTTCCCATATGCAATTTATATTCTGCAGTCTGTTAGCTGATGAACATTATCTGGGTCATGTATAATTTGTTGAACATTATTCTCGTCCTAAAATATATTAAACATATATATTATAAAAATAAAGATGGAACTTGGCCATATAGATGTACCTATATAATTACTTTCCATAACTACATCCTCATTAGTATGTCAAAATTGTAAATTATCACTTGGAACATTAATGGCAGTTACATTTTCATACATATAATGAGTAGAAACTTCTATATGGGAACTTCAATCGTTCTAAAATATTCCATTTAATTACTTGAAGAACAAAATATTCTTCATCATCATTTACTATCGATCCACCATCACTAGGTATTGATTCAAATATTTGAAACAATCCATCGTGAGACAAATTTTCAATATCTATCACACTATTATTGTTCATTTTGGTACACTATTGACACTACCTATAAAATAAGAATAAATATAATACCGATTCAAAAATTAAATTTATAATGTAATATAATAATTGTTAAGTATTTACTTCATCAAAAGTAATAGTTTTGCTAGAGTTTTCGATTTAAAATCATATTCAAATACAAAAAATATATACAAAATTTTCACAGCGTAAAATGTGCAAATCATTTTGTTGTCAATCATTAACAATTGAAAATAGAGCGATAAAACAAAAAACAAAATATACCACCAAATTATTTAATAGTGGTTGGTTTCAATAAGATATCACAATTTGTGAAAAGGGTAAATTTAATTCTAAAATTTAAAATATCAAAATTATATGTAAGAAGAATGTTTTTGTTGTATAGGCTAGGTTCACATGGACGCGCGTTAGCCCGCCACAAAACGCGCGTATGATCGTTCAAATGGCTGCATATGCTACGCGCGTCGAAGAAATAAATAAATAATAAGTTTCAAAGTTAAAAATATTTTAGTACAGTTCAGACGTACATCGAGAATGAACGTAGTAGATGCTGTATGTTTGTGAGTCGTCCACTAAAGAATAAGAAGGCAAATAAATATAGTTTAAAAAAGCACATCGAACTAAAAAGTTAAAAATAATTTTTAAAATAAACTTAAAACAAAAATGAACGAAAAATACTAGTGCTATTATAAAAAAAAGCATGGGCGCTTTATGTCATATTTTTTGTATATTGAGCGCCCGACGCTTTTTTCACAGCGACGTGTGTTTGGATGTTCTTTACAAGCATCATGATCAACACTTTCTTCGGTTTCCCTTACCTTTTTCGAATAAAATGGTTCTAACAACATTGCGAACTCTGTAAGGTTCATGTTCGCAATATTGTAGTCAGGATGTAACAGACGTTTTTTATATCTTTCAAAGATATTGCTACAATTGCCAGTTGCATGTCGACTTTTTTCGAATTGTAATATTCTGTAACGCTGTTCTGGCTTTCTTGTGTTCAAAAAAATGCAGCTTTACGAGCTGTCTCGTAATGGGATATGACAAAGTTGATACGCACATTGTGCAGCCGATACTTGTCGTTCATGAAGAATCTTCATACATATTCTGAACAGTTTGCGTGAAATATCAGTTTCTTCACGTTAAATTTGCTGTATTGCTTGTGCAATTCCAGAATCTACGCCTTCAGGTTCTGCTTTCGATAGATACTTTGCTATATAGCATGGGTGGCCACTAACCTTTACTCAGGGAGCCTCAAATTTCTGAAGCTGTTTTAAGGCGAGCCACATTGTTTGGAGATGAATTTATGGTTAATAAGTTAAAGACACTTTTTAATTTTAAAAGAAGAAACATTTATTGTACTCTACTTATTTATAACATTCAATGTTAACTTAATGTTCAATTGCTTTTACGAGTGTTCATTTTAGCTGTGAGTTGTTTAAAGTTTGGTTTATAATTGGTAAGCGCAGTTCGCACGAGTTCACTCAAGTGTTCATCAGTTAGTTCAGATCGATATTTAGATTTAATGAACTTAAGTGTTGAGTACAGTGATTCACACACATATGTAGTGCCAAATATTGAGATTAGTCTCTTTGCACACAATTTTGTTAGAGGGTATTTTTCTTCTGGAACTTTCTTCCAAAAATCTATAGCTGAAATGCCACTTCGTTTTAGTCCTTTCAGCCCTTCATCCTCTTGTAATTCTAGTATCTCCAACTCTACAGCTGCTGTATCATTTGTAATTGGTGATGAAACAGGACAGCCGTCGTCCATAACATCAACACCAAATGGGTTTTCCAAGAATGAAAATGAAGGCTTGAGCATTCTCAAATCATTAAATCTGCCATTGATTTCTTCAGCAAGACCAGATAATTTACATAAATAATCTTCAGTTTCAACTTGAACATCAGGATTGCTTTCAATAATTTTCTTCAAACATTTGAAGTGAGCAAATGTCTTAGTCTCAAGATCTTTCCGAAAGAGCCTTAACTTGCTATGAAAGCTAAATACACTCTGCGCTAAGTCAGAAATAAGTTTTTCTCTTCCTTGTAGTGATATGTTTAGGGTTTGTAAATGCTGAACCACATCTGTAAAAAAAGCCAAATCTAACAACCACTGGGGGTCATCAAGTTCTGGGAAAGATTTTTCTTTTTCTCGCATAAACTGTTTTATTGGATCAAGTAATTGAAAAAATCGGTCAAGAACATTGCTTACTGATAGCCATCTAACTAAACAGTACCATGATACATCATCAGGAAGCTCGTCATTGTCCAAGCCCTCTAAGAAGGATTTGAACTGTCGGTGTGTCTTAGCACTTGATCGAATGTAGTTAACAATTTTTAAAACTACCTGCATAATCTGGGGATATTGAAAATACTTTGCAGCTAAATGTTCCCTGTGAATAATGCAATGTACAGGTAGGAAATCAGGGTATGATGTATCCTCATTTAAGCCCTTGTTTCTTACCTGCCATAGCTGGTGCACCGTCGGTAGCAATGCTAACATTACTACCTTTAGGCACAGAGTTCTTCAATAAAACACCATCCAGGGCTTCTTTAATATCACAACCACGAGTAGTAACATTCAATGTAACCAGGTCTAACAGTTCTTCCTCAACCTCCAAGTCTTTTGTCACGTACCTTACAAATATGGCTAACTGGGGTTTATCTTTGACATCTGTAGATTCGTCCAAAGCCAGACTAATTGCTGAGCACTCACTTAAATTTTGTTGTAAATTGCCAACAATATCGCCACTAATAACAGAAATTCGCCTCTCTATTGTATGTCTAGCAGCAGGCATTTGGTCTATCAATTTCTGCAATTTTTTATTTTCAGGGTCTAAAATAGAAACAACTTGTGACATATTCTTTTTAATAAACTCTCCCTCTGTGTAAGGCTTCTTTGCTTTTGCAATATTAAAAGCCAAAACTAAGCCAGCCTCAGTTGTCAAATCTGCTTCTTTTGTAAACATTGACATAACCCTGCTCTGACAATCAAGTTTTTCCTTTAAGGATTTTAATTTAGTTTTCCTTAACTGAGAACCAATAGGAAAATCTTTACAGAAACCACCGTGGTTAGTATCATGATGGCGTTTTAAATTACTGGCTTTGAACTGTGACAAAGTGGTTTGACACAAAAGACACATTGGCTTACAGTTTCTTTCAACAAAAACGAATTCTTCCTCCCAGTCTGTATTAAAAATTCGATTCTCCTATTCATATTTACGCTTCTTAGACAGCATTGTAATGTAACTATTTCAACACTAGCACTTACACAACTGAACTCAAAACAGCAACACAGCACAAACAAAAATAATGTTACTAGCTACAGCGTATGTAAGCAGCGGTAGTGCGACTGGCTACTGAGTACTGACTGACACTGATTGTCGTGACTCGTGATGCCACTACGTCAGAATGTACTCGTACACCGTTGCCATATCGACACATAGTTTGGTGTGTATGCAGTGTTGCCAAGTCTACAAAAAAGACTTGTAAACAAATGTTGAGTTTTGTAATGCTTAAAAGACTTTCAACCTGTACATTGCATTATTATATTGTTTTAAATCAGTAATATTTTTACTCTGAACTCAGGTTCGAGGGCCGCACCAGATTAACTCAAGAGCCGCATGTGGCTCGCGAGTCTCGTTGTGGCCACCCCTGCTATATAGTACGCTATCACTTCGTTTGATCCATACAACTAAATATCCATGTTACCTGTCCATAATCTTAATAACTCTGGGTGATAATTATTTACCCACGCATCTTCCTTTCGACGCTTAAGTAAACAAATTTTACCTCCGTTACGAAGAAAATCATCTGAAGAATGAGACACAATTCGTGTTTCGTTACATTTTTAACGTGGAAAGTTAAATCGACATCTTACTAAAGTATTATTTTTTGTACAAGTATGTGTATGCCGATGAATTTGACATTTCTTAACTAGATTGTGAAACTTTGAATCTTCTTCTTCTGTAAGCATTCTACAGCAACAGTTACAATCAAGTAGAAGTTTCCCTTCTTCTGAGTCAAACTGGATGATTTTTAATCAAAATCACCATATGAAGGCGAGGACTGCCTCGATTTTGGAACTCAATACGGCACCAATATTTTTCACTTTGCCGCCAAATACGTCATCATTGTTATTTTATAAATTTCATCAGAGCATTTACTCTAACAATGAAATGTCAACTCTAAATTACTGGCTTCTTTTCGATAAGTCTTTCAGTCTCATAAATGTCGAGCGTATTAGGATCAACATCAGGTCTACCATCAACAATTAACAAATTTTTTCGTTGAGATCACTTGAGCTAAATGTTACAAAGTAGGATGGAGCTCCTAAACATTTGATTTGAGATAATAGCTTGTTCAAAACTGATCTCCAATAAGCTACTGAACTTCTCAAATCTTTAACATACAGATTGACGTCTTCGACTGCTCCTTCTTTATTAACGATTTTCTTACCACATGCTGATATAGTGCTTTTGATACGATAATAGTCAAGGAAGAATAAGGCATAAAAGAGATAGTCGTTGCGTTGAAATCTTGTATTCTATCCCAAAATTTTAAACTGAAAGTAGTCTAATGCTGTAATATTTACGGGTCTTTGCTCTTTAAACCGTACTTTCCATAAGGAAATAAGAAGTACTAGGCAAAGTCTTTTGCTTTCAGTTCATGTCCCACATTAACGATATTACCTTTCGTTTTACGGGTGATCTCATTGAGATTCCGTGAAACCTGTATTTTATCTTTCACACTAATTGCATTACATCAATCGGTGACATCGCTTAGGTCTGCAGTGGAATTATTTGATCAGTTAATTCTTGTTGAGAAGTAATCGTTTCAGACGTTGCCGTTAACGTTGCAATACTCTGTTGCTACATTATACCTAACAATCAAGCTTCTCTATATGATTGGTTCATCATCAAAGGCGATCTCAAATCTTTTGCCAAATGCGATAAAATCATCTTTGACCGCATTAAAATTTCGCACCAGTATGTATCCATCATCTTCAATAGGAAATGCCGATAGACTTCTCTCCGTTTAAAATCTTACTTCGCTGTAAATTTGATCACCTCTTATCATATTCAGATTGAGGGTGTTTGTCGACCAGTATTGTGGTGTAAGAATACTAGCTCTTAGGATGTTGGACAATACCATCGCACAGCATTGTACGCCTGCATATCCTGCTAAGTTTTATAATTTTAACAAATGATATAATGCGTGAAATCAACCTCTGCTCGGATTATGATAACTCCACAATCACTTTTGGAATAGAGCCTTGATCCAGATTATTCCAATAAGACTTACATGGTGCAACAATTTTCTTTGAAGTAAAATGTGTCTTGCAACAACTGTAAAAAACCAAGCAATTCTTTTGTTTTAATTGTCAGGCAAATATGGTGCTGTTTTAGTATCTACAATCCACATAGAAATTTGATGTTAATAGCATCGTTTAGTGCAAATTTCACATATCTTATCACAAAATGTGTTGTGAAGCCCGTCATAATGGCGTTACTTAATCTTCTGGACTCAGCATTTCGTTGCTGTATTTGTAATTCTTTCTTATTTTTTGGTTCACTTAAATTTTTAATTGACTATTCTTTCATGATCAGATTTCACACCTTTTTCATTAAACAAGAATCCTACATACTTGACTTCATTAAGTTTATATTGCAATTTTTTCTCATTAAACCTAATCTGTAGCTCTAACGCTCTCTCTATCACTTTTTTTAAAATCATGTCATGCTCCTCCTCAGTTTTTGCACAAACTAATAAATCATTTAAGTACCAGACCACACCTTTTATGTCCCCAAAATATTTACACATTAATTTTTGAAAAAGCTCAGGTGCTGTTGTACACCCATATGGCATCCTTAAAAATCTAAATACTCCATATGGTGTGCTAAACGCAAATAATTTACTTGTCTCTTTTTCTAATTCCATGTGATAAAATCCATTTTTTAAGTCAATTACTGAGAACCACTTTTTACCACTCAAAGCCAATTTAATTTCATCTGTTGTTCGTATTTGATAAATTTCTCTGACAATTGTAGGATGGTCTAATACAAAATAAAATAAGTAAAGATCACAGATTATCACAGATTTAATTTAGCACTTTAATTATTATTACAAAATCATTATAGAACCACATTACGCTCACAGCCACAATTACAATTACAGAAAAACACAGAAATCACAGACTACTGTTATTACATCACAGTCCAATCAGAGAGCTAAAATCAGACTACTCGGTACAGCTTACTTGAGGTGTGGCGGGAGGCCACGCCGCCCCACCAGTATATTACTACACAATGTACTTTTTCAGTTCACAAGGGTCAAGACATATCCTCAAACTCTTATCTTATTTTTCAACTATCACTATGTTACTCACTGAAACGTTTCTACGTTTGTTCTCTTTAAATATGAAAATACAACACAAATTGTTCGACTAATCGATTTGTTCTGATTTATTTTATATAAAGATGAATATATACATATATTAATAAACTAACTACTATATCAGTCTTATTTTAGAAACTATTTAATTTGGGGTGAAGTAGAAGTATAACCCTCTGGATCACGGTTGGTAACGAGTAGTTACGAACACCGTTGCAAAAGGTTAAAGGGATTTTTACAAAAAGACAGTTATCTCGATCACGGTTGATAACACGGAGGTTATGATCACCGTTGAAGATGAACTGTATTGTATAAGTGGTGGAATCTAACCCTTTGGATCACGGTTGGTAAAACGTTTATTACGAGCACCGTTGCAAAGGATTTAATAGGAATATTTAGGAAAAAACTAGCAATCTTGATCACGGTTGATAACACGATGGTTATAATCACCGTTGAAGATTATGACTAGCCTTTAAAGAAAAGAATATATCATTTTGATCACGGTTGGTAACGTATAGTTACAAACACCGTTGAAAAGTATATATATGTAATAAGAATTAAGTAAAAGGAATAAATAAAGAACACTTACTCGATGGAAGGCTGAATGAAAGGAGACTAGTTGGCAATTAATATTGCGATCACTAGTTAAAAGTAAAGAAATACTAATGTAATACTTTCAGAATCTACAGAGAGAAATGAATAATTAATACGAGTAGTGACGGTGTACTTTATGCTACCCGTCACCACCGGGGTAGTGTAGAACAATTGCCCACATATTATTTATTTTTAAAACCTTCTAAAAACAAAAGAATATTCTAATTTCCTATTTTTGAGTTCTCGCTAAGACTGGTATATAAAATAATCATTACAATAAATATAATAAAAAATAATAAAAAAAATAATAGATAAATACTTTAATTTACATTTTTTTGAATAAGGGTTGTCGAACAGCGCTGTCCAGCGGACTTTCTTGCAACTGTCAACCAATGATAAAGCAGTAGCGTAACGCTACATCACCCATTCACTTGGTCCATTTACCTCCTCAATAATATTCATTTCTACTAGCTCATTCAGTGTTACTTTTAATTTTAATGGCATAAGGTTTTCTCCTAGCCGGACAAATTTTAGGCACTGCTTCTTTATTAATTTTAACGGTGACTTTATCTGGAAAACGTCCTATTCCATTGAGCACATTTTTATTATTCTCTATAAATTTTTCCTTTTCTACACTAAGTTCTGTTTTTTGCTCTTTTATACTTCCCTTAACTATATTCACATTATTTATATAGCCCAATTTCCTGGTATCTCTTAACCCTAATATTGGTACAGTATCTGTTTTTATTACTACAAATTCAGTTTCTACTTTTTCCTGCATTTTTAAATTGAATTCATTACTCATTTTATTTGAAATAACATTAATTTCAGCTCCAGTATCAATTTTTACTCCTATTTCTTTCCCATTAACTTTAATTTTCTCTAGCCAACTCAAATCACCTACTCCTAATAAATTCGGTACTAGAAACTGTTCAATATTTTCATCTTTTTGAGTATCAATGTTAAGCACTTTATTACATTTACTCTGACTACTATCTTTAGTTTTACACATTTTAGCAAAATAGTTCAATTTACCACACTTTTTACACTGACTACCAAATGCCTTGCATTCATTTTTAGTGTGATTATAACTACACCGTGTACAGTTTTTTTATAAAATTATTACCTATTTTTTGAAATGCTTCATTGATGTTTTCATTTTGCTAATATGTTTTTCCTAAGCTCTAGTGCTCTGTTGTTTCTAATTGGTTTTCCTACATTACCACCATACTGACTTAACTGTGTTCTGTCGTTCCACTGATTTTTGTCTTGTAATCTTTTCCCTCAATTTTGAATGACATTAACTCTAACTTCATTTTGCATTATCTGCCTATTTTTTTCATTTTGTTCTATTGCTTGACAATATCTGTTTACTTTACTTAACTCTAAATTTACTCTTAATAATTTAGTTTGTGACTCTTAAAGCCCAATAATGATTTGAGACCTTAATAAGTTGTCCTCTAATTCACCAAATGCACAAGATGTGACTAATCTTTTAAGTTCTAAATAGTAATGATCAAATGGTTCATCTTCTACTTGTTTGCGCGAAAAAAACATGAAATGTTCCATTACTTCGCTCTTTTTAGGAGTACAATAGTTTCTAAATGCCTCCAGTACTATATAAGTATTTTTAGGAACTAATTTAAAAATATTAAATACCTTCAATGCTTCAGGACCAATCAAATTAAGTAATCTTGCTATTTTTATTTTTTCGTCTTTCTTGTCAGTCTCTATTGCAATAAAATATATCTCTATTTCTTGCTTAAATTTTTTGTAATTTTCCTCAAAGTTACCTTCTAAATTGAGTACTTGCGGTTTATTAAAATCAGCCATCATATATTTTCAATCTTGTTTTATCTTGACAATCTCTGTGTTGTGGACTGTATTTACGCTTTATAGGTTCTTTCGGATTTAGGTTATTAGTAATTAATTTTTACTCAAAAGTTTTTAGTTAAAACAACATTTATTAACATAGAGGTACTGCACGTTAGAAAGCCGTACGCTAACTGAACAATAACTGATAACAAACTACGAGCGGACCTAACACACCGGCCGCTTTAAAACACAGTTTTAAAATAAACATTAATAATCAATAAAATAAATAATCCAAAAAAAAAAAAAAATATATATATGTATAAACTTTATCATTATAGAATAATACAAAAATATATGTATAAATTTTCTGACAATCTAATAATTTAATTCATTTGCCGGTTGCCTTCAAAAGGTAATGGACATATCTGTCGAACAGCCCTATTAGTCTCACCACTTGGAGTTACAATTGTTGCGGAACGAATAATATCGTCCTTACCGCGTTGCACAGAGAGTACTCGACCTAACTTCCATTTTAACGGCGTCAAATTTTCATCGCGTAACAAGACAACTGTACCAACTTTAATGTTAGGACCCTTTGAAGTCGACCACTTTACCCGCTCTTGCAATTGGGATAGATATTCGTGTTTCCATCGTTTCCATAAAATTTGGGAAAAGTGTCTTACCCGACGCCAGCGATCTAGTCTGTTGGTTACAACGTTTGTTTCATCCGCTTCAGGTACTGACATGAGTGAGTCACCAATCAAAAAATGTGCGGGCGTAAGGAAAGATAGATCAGATGGATCAGAGGAAAGTGTAGTTAATGGTCGGGAGTTTAAACAGGCTTCTGCCCTTATTAAAATAGTATTTAATTCCTCGTATGTTAAAAAAGCCTCACCTAACACCTTAAAAATTAAAGTTTTCATTGCCTTCACAGCGGACTCCCACAAACCCCCAAAATGAGGCGAGCGCGCTGGAATAAATCGCCACTCTACACCTTTTTCCGCGCCATGCTTAGTCAGCTGATTTTTATGCTCTTGAGATTGAAATAAATCGTACACTTCTTTTAAATATTTATTAGCTCCAATAAAATTCGTAGCATTATCACTATATAAGATTTTTGCAATTCCGCGTCTATTAAAAAATCTATCCAATGCATTTAAAAATGCTTTAGTGCTTAAATCAGACACCAATTCAATATGAACGGCTTTTGTTGAAAAACAAATAAATATACAAGCATAACATTTTAATGTGCATGCCTTTTTTCTAAGACTGTCCTTAATCATCAATGGACCTGCGAAATCACAACCACTAATTAAAAACGCTCTTCCTTGTTCAAAACGACTACTAGGCAAATCTCCCATAATGGGCTGTACTACTACCGGTCTATATCGGAAACATTTAACACAATTATGTAGTACGCGTTTGGCTGCCTTACGTGCGTTCAATGGCCAGTAATTTAATCTAATAGTAGATAACATTGCTTGCGGGCCGCCGTGCATTAAACGCTCATGCTCGCGTAAAAATAATAAACGAGTGTATTGACACTTATCGCCCGGCAACACTATAGGATGACGTTGACCTTCATCAATAGACAATGCATTTTTCAGCCTACCACCAACTCTAATCAAATGTTTATCATCTAAAAACGGACTTAATCGTAACAATTTACTTTTCTTTGACAAATCTTTACCATTTGTTAAACAATTAATTTCTTTAGAAAAATAATTATTTTGTACAATGCGTATTAAATTAATATTCGCTCTATTTAACTCATCTGCATTTATAACTGTTGTTTTAAACATTTTTTTATGTACTTTAATATCAATAAATCGTAAACAATAAACCATAATACGTAATATTTTATTTAACGATGAAAATTTTTCCAACAAATCAAATTCTTCTGTCACAGTACCAATAAATTTAGTCGCACTTTTTCTTTCTAACGTTTCATTTGAACTTTTTAATATTTCATTATTTTGTGCTGGCCATTCTGATTTATCCTGACTCAACCAAAATGGACCTTGCCACCATAACTTCATCTCTGTAATCACATTCGCCTCACATCCTCGAGATAATAAGTCCGCGGGATTTTCTTGCGAACGTACATGAAACCATTCTGATGGACAATTTAAATTCTGAATTTCACCGACTCGATGAGCAACGAATGTCTTCCAATACGTGGACGGGGAAGCTATCCATGATAAAACTATACGAGAATCCGTCCAAAAGTACTTTTTTGTTATATTTAAATTTAACTTTTTTGTAACATTATGGGTTAACCGCGCTAGCAATAGTGCAGCACAAAGTTCCAATCTAGGTATTGACACTACTTTTAATGGCGCTACTTTTGATTTTGCGCAAATAAGTTTTACACTATGTTTTCCATCTATATCTGTGCATCGTAAATATATGCATCCCCCATATGCCTTTTCGGATGCGTCCGAAAACCCATGTATTTCTATTGAGGCAATTTCCTTTTCACATGTTATCCTTCGCGGTACTTTTAAATTATTTAATTTTTGCAAGCTTTCACGATAACTTAACCATTCTTTACTATTATCATTAGTTAATATCTCATCCCAAGCTAATTTGATGTGCCATAAATTTTGAATAAAAAGTTTTGCCTTTACTATAACAGGTCCTAAAAGACCAAGAGGATCGTAAATACTAGCTACCTCAGACAATATTTTTCTTTTAGTTAAATCACTTTTTGTATACTTATTCAAATTTATTTTAAATATAAACATATCATTAACCGGGTCCCATGTTAGACCGAGTATTTTGGTTATCGCTGATTCATCAAATACGCGTACATTATCTTTATTTTCTACTGTGTCACACACAATTGTATTTTTATTAGATAACCATTTACACAACGACATACCGGCTCGTTGAAATATTCCGATAAGATCATCACGCAACTCAACAGCTGACTCTATACTATCTGTGCCGCCTAAATAATCATCCATATAAAAATTATTTTTTATTTCCGAACAAGCTAACGGATAAAAATTTTCTTCTTGATTAGCTAAAGTCTGCAAACAAGCAGTAGCTAAAAACGACGAAGGACCCATACCATACGTTACTGTTGTTAATTTATACGCGTCTATAGGTAATGCTGGATTTTCTCTCCATAAAATTCTCTGGTAATTACAATGTTCAGGGGCTAAATTAATTTGTCGATACATTTTGTTTATATCAGCAGTTAAAGCAACTTTATGTGTTCTAAAACGTATTAAAATAAATATCATATCATCCTGTAAAACTGGACCTTTTAATAGTACGTCGTTCAGTGAATTACCAGATAACGTTTTACACGACGCATCGAACACTACACGCAGTCGCGTTGTTGTACTATTATAATTGTAAACAGCGTGATGCGGTAAATAACATATATTTTCCCCGACTATAGGCTCCTTTTCGTCTATTATTTTCATGTGACCTAATATTTCGTACTCCTTCATAAATTTACTATATTCCTCCTTTAAATTTTCGTCTTTTTGCAACTTTCTTTCCATATTTAAA